CTATCGATTCTCCTCCCCGTCACTGAGCGCAATCCCCGACGTACCCTTGTCCCGCCGGCTTGATTTATGGATGGATGAGCTAGCCTGAGCCCTGCCAGCTGGAACAACTAACATAGTTGTTCAGACGACCGGACCGTCAGTGTCGCAGCTACAAGCGGTGTAAGTAAAGTTTTGCATCCATTAAGCCTTGTCCGCCTCTCTATTCACCAGCCCGCCCAACAAACGAGTAATTACTAAATCACCTCAAGTCGGCTCTGGCCATCCAAGACAGTCGTTAAAGCTTCAGCCTTCCTGAATTGACTCATTTCATCCTGACAAATAAGGCAAAGGGGAATTTAAGAGAGTGTGGCCCATCCAGGGGCCATTTCAACCACCTACTTCATTTTGAATTGCCACTTTTTTTTTTTCTTTTCCAATCTCCCAGCTGCTGCATTGTCTCATGGAACTGCTGGGAGAATTGCATTGCAAAGAACTGCAAAGTCATGAGAGAGACTTCGCTACTACACTGGGTCCCCAAATCTCCCAGTGTATGTTGATGTGTCAAAACAGGATGTGGCTGACTACTGTACATGTTCATTAATATAGGTGGTGAATTTTTAAGGGCAATTATAGTTACTTAGGCTCCATCTTAAGTGCATGCTTAACTTTAAGCATTTTGAGAAGTTGTGCTTGAACACCAAAATGGACTTTGAAGCTGGTCACAAGCTTCAATTTAAGTATATGCTTAATTGCTGTGCTTGATTGGGTCCTTAATTACTGATCAGTCATCTCTAATAGGGAAGCATTTTCCTAAGTGTTCAAGAGCCTATAGATATTATTTCTTTAAGTGCTTATTTTTAAACTATGAGTAAAAAGGCATCAAATAATATTACTTTGAGGTAGTAACAATACTGTAATTGATCTTTTTCTGTTTAATATGTAAGTCTGTCTCATTTTACTACTTAGATCACATTTCTTTATTTACTTTTTTAATAGCTAGAATACATCATACACTTCTTACTTCGTTAATTGATACTATTAATTGGTCTACAAAATGTGTGTATATTCATTATGTTTTTGTGTATTGTATGATCCTGTGTACAGTGTGTGACAGTATCCAAAACTGTTAAAATTGCAAATTAAAATTGATGGCTGATTTTGCAAAAGTTGAATTTAATCTATCTGATCCTTACCTGTAAAATGGAGCTTTTAAAGCTGTTCTTTCTTATGTTAATGAACGTCACACAGATATTAAGAGACTATGGTGATAAGCTACTTTAAAGGGCAGAAATATCCAAATGGTTTGTGCTTGCACAACAGAACTAAGAATAAAAAACAAATTCTTTATTTTATGGTCTGAGCAGCAAAACAAGAAAAGGAGCATTTTTACTTAAATTTAAAATAAAAAATATAGGTTGCAGACCAAACATAGAAAATTTTGTGAATGATTAAAGACTGGCAGAATTTTTGTCAGCTGGAAACTGGAGGCTTAGGATGTAAAGTGGTACAGCCAGTATTAAGTACAGGTGTCATTACTGCTCTTCCTGTATTACGTATACGTACTTAAATTAGTCTGGTAGTATAAAAAATTATTAGTGTGGATCCTTAGTTTACTAG